ATATGAACGAAAAATTACCAAATGATTGGATTAAATTTTGTATATTTTGGCTTTATTAACCAGAACTATGGCTTTTAACGTCTAATGTCATTCCCACACAGTGCGGTAATTAAACCTGAATTTTTCTCCGTGTAAGTTTAAAGCTAAATGATAGCGGCAAAAACAATTTTTTGACTTTAGATATGATTCAAAACATTTTTCACATTTTAATTCATAAGTTTTTATCATATAATGATATATACCATTTTTAATTTATATTATTATACTTTCAAAAGTTAATCAATAATACCTTTTTGAGCTTTCCAAGGAACTTTTGAAATTTAAGTTATATTAAGTATTATGTTTTTTTTAAAGAAAATTATTTGTTTAAATGTATTAAATGCATACGTCAATATGATTCAAATTTGCTCAAACATACAAATAAATTAAAAGTTGTGCACATACAACAATGTTTCATATTAACACATGTATAATTTTTGAGTTAAATATTTGGTATTTCAATTCTATTAAATCTATGCTTCCGTAAAAAAATAAAAAATGTTCTATGTGAAAAGGAAAAAAAAATTCCAAATAAGCTTAAATTACAAAAATTTTATTCTTGGTATTAGTGTGTATCAGCATTAATTTATGATAACCTATGAAGTTTGTGAGCATACAAATTCAATTTCTAAAAAATAATTTTTCTAATACTTTTCAAGTATATCCAATTATTTTTTTCATACTCTTTTATTTGTCTAATTCTTTTTATTTCTCTTCAGTTTGAATTTCCCTACACTTCCCATTGCATAAATTTATAAAATACTCTTTTTATTTGTAATTACAAACGTATTTTCTTCCTACGTTTTCCTACATATTACTTACTTTTTGATCAAACATTAAATTAAACAAGCGACTTTGCTAATCTAAGCATGTTTTCTTTTTTTACACTCTCTTTAACTAATTCAAAATTTGAAAAGCTGCAATTATTGTAAACTTTAAAACAATAATAATTTTACTTTTCTAGTTTATGGAAAGTAGGAAATATTTGCTAAAAATAATTACGGAAAAGAAAAATAATTTCAAATAAATGTTATCTTTATTTTGGGAAAAGTCTCGAATCGGAAGAAAAATAGATCTAAAATAAATTGCAAATATTCTTCTTTTTGTTGTAATATGGGTAGACTTCTTATTACATTTCTTCGTTTTGATGAAAATATAAGCCTTTTCCGAATTCGCTTTTATAGAAGATTGTTTTCGATTATTTCGAAGAGAGTTCCCTACACATATTTGAAGTCAATAAACCTTTAGAAACCCTATATTTTATAAAACATTGAATATAATATTTAAAATATGTCTATACATCTACAACTATTTAGACGTAAAGAGATAAATTATCAAAATTGCTGATCATTATCAAAATTTTTTTAAAAATAAACGCGATATAATTTCGAAAAGGACTAAACATCTTTAACAGCATTATCTCATCTACTCTCGAAAATTGGTTAATTACTCTTCAATTATTAACGAATTACTACTAGCAATTAGTGCTTCATGAATATCAAACATATCGAGTGCTCTTATTCAACTGGTTAATTAACTTAGTCTATTTCTCATCAGAAATCACAGAAATAATTGCGATATTAATTATTTAATTTATTTTAGAATAAAGATAATGATTTAATAACTATTAAAAAATGAAGTGTTAGTAATTAGTATTATTTTGTTTTAGAACAATATAATTTATTTGGTAAAGAAATAATTTCGTAGTTAAAATATCTTATTTTTAAATAGTTAATTCCACAAGCATTAATAAGTAAATTAGTGAACTTATAAAATAAAGTTAACATCAGTTAGCAATTTTAAAAATAATGACAACTTTAAAAACAAAGAAAATGTTCTTAAAAGGTATGAGATTAAAGTTCATTTTTTTAATATTTATTAAAAATATTCTATTATTTATAAATTAATTATTAATAATATTTATTAAAATTATTTTAATATTTATAAATTAATTATTAATCATGTTTATTAACAGTATAATTCATAATATAATATTAAAAACATAATAACATTTCATCAAATAAAAAACGGTAATATTGTAATATTTTGAAAAGAAAGTTAAATGCTGTTATTTGATTATGCTGTGTTATAATTAAAGCAAAGATAATAAAAAAAATGTATCTTTAAATGTATAACACATTTCTAGGACTCTTGTGCAAAACTATCATTAACTTTTTATGTCTTTCAAGTTTAAAGCGATGCGAATAATTGATTTTAATAATGTCCATATTTTTATTTATAATATATTTGTTATTATCACCTTTGTTAAAAAGTAATAATATGCTCTCTCTAAATATAATAATATATTTTGCTTGAAAAATGTATCACCATCTCTTTTAACTTTTATTTTCTATTCATAAAACTTCTTTGTACTTACAGTAAAAATATAATATTTCAAAAATAAAATATAATAGTTCATATTGTTTTTCGTACTACTTCTTATAATCTTTCTCGAAATTCATTATGAGTGCTGCTGGGCAAATGTTTAAGCATTTAAAAGAAGTTAACAATTTTTCAACATTTCCAATAGTTTTATAATAGTTTTTAATGCATGTTGAGCAAAAATACTTTCAAATAATACAAAAGATTTAGGAGCTTTATTATCTGTTGTACATAGAAGATTCATATTAAACTTTGTTTATTTTATATTTTATTTAATATTTTTATTTTATAACCATCGTTGAACAGCCGACCCAATTTTGTGGGTTCACGACTACTAATGTTCACCTCCGTAGCCTTGTAATTTTGAACCTAATCCAGAAGACAAGGGATCTCCTGGATCAAGAATAGGGAAAAAATTTCCTTCGTGGGGCTTTTTAATGGAACTAACCAGCATTTGCGTTACATGGAGAGTAAAACCACGAGAACCTCTCACGGTTAGCCTGATGGCAAGGGGACTTCAAATAATGATCCGCCCACTACTGAGGATATTTCATGTCAGCACTGTGGTCGGTGCAAGCCATATGCGGAATTCGTATCGACAAAGGAACTCCTGGATCAAGTATTGGAACTCGGTTCGCCTCATTGGAAGACGATCACTCTATTCCCTGACCAATCACGGCTCTGTTTATTTCTTAATAAAATAGGGGCTTGGTTTATTAATTGTAAGCTGAAATTGCTGAATGTGTAATGTGATACTGAAACTGGCTTTTAAATTTTCAGCCATAAAGTTTTGGGTCAGCCAGAAAGTTTTTTACATTTAATGACTATGAAATAAAAACTACATGCGCCACACTGAAAAAAAAGTTACGCACAAAACTATCAGAATAAGGTAAAATTTACCGTATAAGAACACCAAAAAGCTCGGTAATTTTTACCGAAGTACTTTGGCGAGGGTTTTGGTAAAATTAACAATAAAATATGGTTTTATAACGGCGATAAATTGGTAAGTGTAGTAAATTTTGGTAATTTTATCGTGATACATTAGAGTATGGCAGAAAAAAAAACATTTATTTGGTTGAATTTATTTTCCAGTTTTATATTTTTTACTAAAAGTGTGGTAATAAGTATTGTAATTTTAAGAACCCGAATTACGGGTAAACTGTTTCTATATGGACGGAAAAATTAAAAAATTATTTAAAAACTGTTTTTTTTTTATTATTTCCAAAATTATGGGTTCGTTTTCTTTTTTTTAACAGAAATGTCATTACTACACAACACGGTAATTTTACCCGAACCTTTTCTCCTTGCAAAAATAATCACCTTTTAAAGTGTAGATATATCTGTTCATAAATACATGTGAACAGATTGAGATCTACTCATTTATATTTTACTCATATATGTATATTTTAATGAAGCGCTCTTTGGTTTAATTTTATTTTTAAAAAAAACTTCACTATTTATCATATTTTCTGCAAAATATGAAAAACAATAAACAATTTATTGCTTTTTGGAAAACCAACTAGGGTGTGTGTGCAGCCAACTGATTTTCAATAACTGTCAGAAAAAATGCTATAAAATTATTCCTAGTTAAATATTTATACTGAAGCCCCTAACCGATTTCATATTGACCCAAGACCCCTATGTAACTTTTTCCTTCAAATATTTTTCTCTTATTTTGCTAATGAAAGAAGAAAAATGGAAGTTTGGAGAATGGAAGTTTTTGGTAAGAATAGTTCCGAATTCTGTTTAATGTGGTAAGTTTTTGTTTGTTTGCTAAATTTAGTTGGAGCAGTATAAATGCACCCGACTGTTTCAACATTAAAGCCTATTTCAAACAATAAAGTAAAAAGCTAAACAATATTACAACTATGGTTAAAAACGACTTCTAACATATTGTTTTCTAAAAGCATCAGAGACAAAACGATAATTTTTTATTAAATTTCTAATTTCAGATTTTATTTTTTTATTTCTTACAGTTTTATCCAGTTCGAGCAAAGAATTGTTTCGAATTCTCCTAATGATATGTAAAATAATAAATAAATATTTAAGTACTCATTTTAGGTTATTTTTCCCCTTATTTAATTTTTATTTATTTCGTATAATTCCATTCCTTTCATAGACTAATTTAAAGTGAATCCTTGAAATGAAATTCCATATAGAAAAATCCATTTAGAAATTATTATTAAGAGTTAATTAAGAATACGACTTCAAATGTGTTCTTATTTTTAATTATTTTTATTTCTCTTAGTTTTATCTCATTTCTGCACTAAATTAAAGTTATATTTAAGATCGAATTGCAGCCAAAAAGAAAATGACTGCATGTACGTGTAGACTAAAACGACATCATCCCAGAACATTTCCAATTCATCACGAAAAACACATCCTTTATTGTCTTATATTCGTCGATTCCAGCAGAGAACAGCTACATCGTTCGATCAAATGGGAGGATGGAGAGAGATGAAACAGGTTCCGATGGATTGTCTTCCAACATCATTCCTTTTCTCCCACTAGAAGGCGCACATGTTCCAAGAAAGAAAAGAAAACGATGGCCAACTCCTCCTACTTCCTTTTCGTGCGAATTCCACGCATGCTCAAATCTAGTACCAAACGATGTGGCATAAATAATCCCTTTATTCCAAGCCCTGCGGCGGTCAGGTTCTGTCATTGGTCGAACGGCCGCCGACGCAGACGATCTTGACACACGTGTGATAGCCATGAGTAGCCCCTAGATTGCATGAATTGCGTCACTATGGGATACCTGCTACATGTGCTTTAATTTTTTGCGGAAATTAAAAAAGAACTTTTAATAAGCAACCATTATCTTCGAACTGAGCCGCTGACAGCGTAGAATAGTTTTGGCGGGAAATTTCTTCGAATACTAACAAGCAGACGTTAATTTTGATAAAAAGAAAGGACAGTTGAATTCCTAAGATACAAGAATACATATATATATTTATTTACGAACAGTAAATCAGGAAGCGAAGATATTTAGCAGCGAAGTAATATCATTTCAAAATATAGCTATATCTTTGAGTATAACAGTTGGAAGCTACAAAAAGTTCTCTTAACTAGTTCGCCAGATTGATTAAAAAAAGAAACAGCAAAATATAATAATCTTTTCCTCGAGAAAAGAAGGAAAAAAAACTGTTTACATGATAAATATTTGAAAACATTATAAAGAAATGTAGAATATAGCGATAAGCTTATCGCAATCCTTATCAAAGCTGCTGTAATTTTTTTTTATACCTTTAAAGATAATTTCTTTTTCTTACTTTATTCTAAAGAACATAAGGGCTGCAGGTGCCTGGATGAAATATTCCCTTAGAGTTTTGGCATCAAAACTTTACTTGACGATGCATCGATGTGAATGAAAACATGAAATATCGCCAAAAAAAGAAAGATGCGGCAGCTTAATTTAAGCGCCAACTGTTTGTTATCCAGCTTCTTAAGAAATGAAATAATGTGCGAAGTAACCAATACCAATAGACTGAAATCAGCTTACTACAGACCAGATTTTCTAGCCTTCATCCTTACTGCTTTGTTTATCGTCTCTTTCACTGTAAGTGTTTTTACTTATTCTATTTTACATTTCATTCTTATAATTATTGCTAATGAAATAATCAAATTTTAAAAAAATGAACGCTCACAAGATATAATGTCGCAAAAGGGGCTTTATAAATAAATAATTTAAAATTAATAGCTGAAATTATATAATTGTGAAATTTTATTGTGATTTAGACAGACAAATAATTTCGTATGAAAATTAATAAAAGAAAAAAAATTTTTGGTTTTTGTTGTACTTTTAATATCTGAAATAATATGCTCAAATAACTTATTTTTTCACTCACAAAATATTTCAAGATAAGTCAATGCATGTTAATTTCGTTTTAAGTCTCAAGAATTAAATAATTTCAAATATTACAAAAAAAGTAAAATAGCTGAGTCTTTTCATTTAAAAATAAAATAATAAATTTAAAAAAATATTTTGAGGCATTAATAAAAAATCTTGGTATGTTTGAAATATTCCTTATCATCTAATTTAAAATATCGCCTAAAAATACAGAGTTGCATTGCAAATTTAAACTAATATGCATATCGCAGGCTATGTATGCCGCAGGCTATATATTATATTTGTCCCAACCTAATAGAAAAACATGACTCTTTGCAAACTACCGCCGATGTCATTTCTTAAGCTCATTGCAGTGTGCTAAGTAAGTGCATTGTATAGTGTTGTCGATAGTCTGTAAAGAGAGGGATTCTCCAATTAGCCTAGGGCATACATAATAATTATATTACATAAGACATCAGTTTGTAATTGTTTTTTTTATCATGGGTAATACTTAAAGATGTACTTTCATGTGAATGTACAGAATTTTTCGATATATTTCAAAAACTTTTACCATTCTAAATATAAGGTGCACGCAAATTAGTTCATTGTAAGCATTAATACATATAACAGTAATATTAATGGAGTACATTAGTACACAGGAGCATAATTTTAATAATTCGTATTATAACAGATAATAATAAGGAATCAGTATTAATAGTACAAAGTAGTAAAAACTATTACACTAAATGAAATGTCGTTAGAATATGAAAAGGTGCTTAATTATTTGATTACAAACAAAGAAATTGATTGCATGTATTTATTTGTTTTTCCTTTAAAATAAATAAAAATTAAAAAAATTGTTAATATGAATGTTACTTCATTCATCATCGACCTTATTTTCAAAATCATTAGAATATTTCATGGATTGAATATTTATTCGCATTGTCTTCATTTTTTTAAAGTTTATTTCTAGTTAGTTTTTTTTAATAACTTTATAAAGTAGTAATATAAATTTGCCTGTTTTACATTGAATAAAGGAAATTTTTCGAACAGAAAATATGCTGAAATAAATGCACTAAAAAGTGTAAACAACGTTAAGTTCAAAGTATTTTCTGTTTAAAAATATAGAGAAAGCATCCTTTTATGTATATGTTTTAATCTAGATGGTTGGTTAAGGTGAAATAAACTTTATTTGATAGGAAGTCAAAGCAGAAACGTTCCTTCTTTAAAGAAATAATCTCTGCAACAAAAATAATGATTTAACAACATATTTAATGAAAAAAAAACTTAGATTAACAAGCATTAAAAACAAAGAAATAAATATCTTAGTTTTCTTTAAAAATTTTAAATTTTTTTTTTGTATTATTAATATAAGATAAAACTAAAACCTGTTTTGAGCTTACATAGACGCGAATAAAGGTTTGTATAGTTTAGAAATTTATTCTTACACCTGCTTTAAGGAAATGAAAACTTCATTCAGATAAAAAAAAATTTTAACATGAATAATTAATAGCATCGTTTACTTTTTATTTAAATTATTCATCATTCTTAAAGATGAAAGCTTATAATTAAAACTCACCTTGTCAATAACTAAATATTTTCAATACCATTCGTTTATTATGTAAAAAAATTTATCAATATTAAGCAATAGGTCATGATCTAAGCTCACCAGTAGTATAAAATTTATCTATGTCTAGTTTATCAACTCTGTAAAAAAATACTGCACAAGTTGCATAAACGAGAATGAGGGTGCTTTATTAAAAAATCTATCTTATTAACCCTCTATTATCAATTAATGCGAGTGATATTTTATTATTTAAATAATTAAAATGATCCAAAAATATGATACGTATAAGTTTGGTTACTTTATTCTATATTAAATCAAAAGTTGCTGGGTATTTATTTATTTACTTCTTTTTAATAATCGTCGTTGAACAGCTGATCCAATTTGTTTTGGGTTTACGACTACTAATGTTCAACTCAGTAGCCTTGTAATTAACCCGATCCAGAAGACAAGAGAACTCCTGGATCAAGGTATTGGAAGAAATTTGCCTTTTACGGAGGACTTTATGATGGAACTAATCCGCATTTGCGTTACCTGAGGAAGACCACGAGAACCTCCCACGGTTAGTCTGACCGCAAAGGGACTCTAACCCACGATCCGTTTACCACTGAGGATATTTCATGTCAGCACAATGGTCGGTGTTAGCCGGATGTGGATTCGTATCGACCAACCATCGCTGGGATTCGAACCCAGTTCACCAAATTGGAAGGCGAACGCTATATCCCCTGAGCCCTCACGGATCGCAGCGTTGCTATTGAAAAAATGTATTCTAAAATTTCGTTCTAGTTAATTATAATGAGAAATAACCCGCAATAAATGTATAATATTCAATTTAAAAACAGCTATCATAATAGAAAATTCAAATCACAATAACTTGTTTCACTTCTCAAAGAAATATTCTTTTTAATTTTTCATAGGTATTTATAGTAAATGTCAGTCAGATAAACAATTACTTATTCTAAGTACATCAATCAATCGATTTAATTATTATTTTTTTTAAATTTACTTTACATAGATTTATTTTTTCATTTACAATTTAGTTAATTCAATTATTTTCATTTTATTTTATGTATTTGCTATTCAAATCGATAGCAGAAATACTTTTAACTGATTATTTTATTATAATATCGTTAATACAGATAAATATCGAGCCTTTAAATGTATTATATCATAAACTTATGTAATGTGTATTTTTGTAGTAATAAAAAAAACTTTATCAGTTCAAACAAACTAGATAAACAAAGTAGAAAAACTGCCTTGGCTTGGAACTGGATATGGCGGAGAAGAGATTATAATATAAATAATATATACTTTAATTCATTGAACTATCAAATGATAAGATCATCATAAAAATATTCTAATAATATTGACAGTTTATTGTTTTTTTTAAAGAAAAAACTTTATTAACAGCTTTATTTTTATTTTGTTACATCTGATTACTTGGCACTTACAAACTACCGGCAGTACCTCATTCAATCACTTTTATTTATATTTTAATGCAACGTGAAAAAGCATATTTTTCTTTTAATTATAGATATATTTTTAACAAAAAATATTTTCAATTTAATAAAATTTTTAATTTAAACTCTTTTTCAGATTTTTTTATATTACGTGTCACGAAAAAAAGTACAAATAAATTGTGTGGTCAAAATCTGAATAAAAATCCATTTAGAATGGAACATATTTCCCGGAGAGAAATCTACAACAATAACAAATTGTGATTAACTATTATTGAATTTTATATTTAGCTTGGACTATCTATTTAATACGCAATGAAAGCAATATATTAAGTATGTATTTAGCACACCAATCGATTTCCGCTTCTCATGTTTCAATCAGTGTCATTTCAACAGGAATTTTAAAAGATCAATTCATTATTAATGATGTTCACCTGTTAATGACTTTGTTATTATCTGGTATTAACTTATGTATTTAAAATGAAATTGATTGATACGCTCGTTTTAATTATTCATTGCTGTGTAATGGAATTTTTTTCTCTTTGATTATTATATAATTCGAAAGCGAGCACTTGCAAAAATATTTTCTTCAAATTTATGTAGAAGTTGAAACTTAAGTGAAAAATAAAGATACTGTATATTACACATTAATGCAAATTAAATAAGGGGATCACGGAGTCGATTTTGTATTTAAAGAGTGTTACTTAAGAACTGATAATACGCTAAAACTCGTTTTATCTAGTAAAAAATATTTTTTTTAAATAATTTTAATAAAAACGATTGATAAAAAAATATTTAATTAGCATCACACAATATTATTTAAAAGAACAAAAAGATCATAAAATTTTTAGTGATAAAATGTTTTTGAATGAACTTTTAGACAAAAGCTATCAAAGTACAGACTGTATAAAGAGTATGGTATAAAGACTATGATATAGATATAGATAAGATATAGGTAGTATAGACTATAATTTAGATATTGATAAAGGAATATATCTATACCTATATTATATCCAAAGGTACTTTTTTCCTAATTTTAATAAAAACTTTTGATTAAAAATATTTAATTAGCATCATACAATATTACTTAAAAGAACAAAAAGATCATTAACGTTTTAGTGATAAAATGTTTTTGAATGAACTGTTGGACAAAAGCTATCGTTAAATTAGTTTAAGCAGTAATAAATTGTTTAAATAATGCGTGTATAATGGTAAAGAATTGCGGATCAAATTATGGTGGATTCAGCCCTGGCGGGTTCATCCCAACAATCTATTTTACCGAAAAATCCATTTTTTTGCCGTATAATCTTATATCGTAATTATTACAGTAATATTTGGTGCTTCAGTGGTTTTACTGTAAATGTTACCGTTAAAATTACAGTATTTCAAATTTTTTGTAGATTGTAGATTTCAGACTGTATGCAACACGGAGAAAAAAATTCTGCTGAAATTACCGTACTGTACGGTAATGACATTTCTGGTAAAAGAAAAAAAAAACATAATTCTGATATTGAAAACCGAAATATACAGTAATTAAATTAGTCATATGTTAATTTTTCGTCCATAAGATAAAGGTTAACCGGAAATTCTGATTTTCAAAATTATAGTTCTTGTTATCACACAGTTAGTTAAAAATACAAATTTGAAAAGTAAATTTAACCTAATAAATGGATTTCGTACTATGTAATAAGGCATTTGTACGTCCAATA